AAAATAAATATTTTGTCTTTGGCCAATAATAAATAAATATTATGAGCTTTAGGAACAAACAGATTGATGTATTCAGTAGATCTGTTTTGCACAGTCAGTGTACTGTGATTCTGGCCTCCATAGCTGTTAGATATAAGGATTTTAAACTTCAACCTATACAGCAAACTTTTGTTTCAAGTATACTAAACTGTACATTTATTTAGCAAACGTTTGAATACATCTGTTTACTTCTGAAATTGTAATCTTCCTCAAGTACCTCTTACACATATGATTATGCCCAGTGGATGTTTCTTTTTAAGGAAAGGTTATCTGCTGAATTAATTTTGTTTTCTAGCAATTTTTGAATTTTATTAATTTACATGTGTTCTTGAATTACTTGCCAACATCTTGGAATTAATTTTTGGTCAATACAAATAGATTCTACATACTCTTCCCGTAGTTAAAACATATTGCATCATTAGAAAAAGAATTGCTCATTTTCTATTAGTCAGTGGTAAACTTCACAACCTTTTCAACATTTGAACATGAACATCAACTCTGCCAGGAAATATATTTAGTCATTCTTTTGGGAAGTTTATGCATAACTAGTTTCTTACTCTTGTATTTTCAGTTTATTACCTGCATGTTTATTCTTTTTAACTGATTTAGTTTCACTTTCTCCTTTTGTTTTTCTTAACATGATTTTTTCATATTTTTTTTAAAGTCAGCCGTGAGAGAAAATATTTATTACTAAAACTTAGACACATCTTGCTAGAAGATTTGTTTGGCAAGCGTGGACACTGTCATATATGAGCAGCATCCACACACAAATAAGATGCAAGCAAAAGTGAGACTTTTTCTGTTGAAATGAGCTCTCCTCGTGGTTCTGACTGCCAAAAAAAATAAAAAATAAAAATGATCAAATACATGTTTCAAGCACATGGAACCTATTTACCTGTGTTTCTTTTTAATGTCAGCAAAAACCTGAACATGTTCTGCACCAATTTGCTTCCGGTATCTTAGTAAGTCACCAGCACAAGCATTTAGAATCCCTTCATCCGCCACATGAGAAAAAACAAAGCCTTCAGCTCTAATAAAATCAAGACCTATAAATGGTAATAAACCAAGATTACTGTTATAGACCTGAATGAGGGCCAGGCAGGAACAGTCAATCACAGTTAGTTACTAGACAATCCCAAATACAGAATGGAATGTTATGAAAGATCATTAATATATTAGAATGTTGTGTATATACTACATTGTCGATGTTTGCTGTATCACCCTGCAGAAGACAATCTCTTATCCTAACTCACCTTGCAAGCTTCTTCTAAAGGTAATAAGTGTGCTCTCCCCACAGCCCTACATCCGATTCTAGAAGAGATCATTTCAGAATTGACAGAAAAGACACTACCCTCCTTGCTTGCCTAGTGACAACTGCCATTCACATCAGTTGAGTAAAAAATTAAAAAGTTCTTCTGAGATCAGGTAACTGGGGAAGGGGGGAAAGCAAGAAGCTGTGCTCCTAAAGCAACCTTGAATACAGGAAAGTCTATTGAGAAACCTGTTAGAACTCTTTATGTTCAGTCATCATTGTCTTCCATTTGCAGGCCATTTATAGAATCTAAGAGACCTATGGCTCACTGTTCTGATTTTTAAAAGGTATTTCTTTATTGTAACAAATTGTGCAATATTATACTGTGGTTCGAGTTTCTCTGACAGTAGTCTTACAGTCTGCCCACTTCATGGGAAATTCTTCATGCATCTGATGAAATGGATTGCAGTCCACCAAATTTATGCTATAATAAAGTGTTTAGCTTTTAACGAATGCCACCAGACTCTTTGTTGCTTTCTGTTGCAACATACTAACTCCAATATACCTCTGGAGATTTTTACAGTTTATGATATAAGGATTTTTACAGTTTATGAATTAAAAAAAAGACGAAGTTGGATTGCTAATCCCTCTCTAGATGGACTGAATTACTATTTCCTACCCGAACTAAGATTCCCTACAGACAAAGCATGAAGCTACTATTCCTCCATGAAGCAAACTCCTAATCCATATGGGATCAAAGTATGCTGCAAAACACACTGCAGAAATAATCCAGTTTGAAATCACTTTGGCTCAGTGAAAGGGAATTCTGGGAACTGTAGTCTTGTGAGACATTTAGCCTTCTCTGTCAGAGAGCTCTGGTAGCACAATAAAATACAATTCCCAGCCAGGACAGTTAAAGCAGTCTCAAACTGGATTATTTCTGCTGTGTCTTTTAGACCTCTGGGTGATGTTATTAGCCTGATGCTCTAACCAACTGAACGATCTTTCTGTGCAGCACAAGCAAGGAAACACAGATAATAAAAGAACAGCACATGTTGGAACTGTGCACCCCTCCAGATGTAGTTGGATTGTAACTCCCAGCAGCCCTATCCAGCATAGTCAATGGTAAAAAAGATTGGTGTGGAACCAGTGTGGCATAGTGGTTTGAGCATTGGACTATAACTCTGGAAACAAGGGTTTGAATCCCCACTCAGTCATGTAAACCCACTGGGTTAACCATGAGCAAGTCACACTCTCTCAGCCTCAGAGGATGGAAATGGCAAACCCCTCTGAAGAAACGTGCCATGAAAACCCCATGATACGTTTGCCTTAGGGTCATCATAAGTCAGAAAGAACTTGAAGGCATGCAACAGTAACAACAGTTCAATAACATCTGGAGGCCTGCATGATTCCCACCTCTGCACAGTATTTAACTTTGTGCCATGCATGCTCACTGTTCTATTAAATAATCAGATAGGAAACAGTAAGATTATGAGGGGGGAAAATCTAACCCACATGTAGTAACACAGACTGAGTGTTCCCAAACATTATCAAAAAGATAGCAAAATGATAATTGCAGTGTAGAAAGCTTCTATATTTGTATCTTTATCAGCTCCATAAATGTTCCCGCGACTCAGTAATATGCATCATTCTGTGTAGCACCAAACAGATGTAGTTAATTAAATCAGGATCTACGCACAGGAAATTATGAACTACTGAAGAACACATGGTACACCTGTTAATAATGAAGCAGTTGTGAATAAAGCTTGGCAAACCATTTCAGACATGGGAGAACTCTGCCATTCCCACTCAAAAACAAACATCAAAAACAATGTCGTTCTAGCCCAGATAATGACATATATAAGCTTCTGCTATTAAAAAACCAAGATATGCTACTGTAAAGCAATCCCTTGAATTAAGAAATGGAAAATAATGTAGAATTCTGTAACACATAGGCTCCCTCAAGGGCTAAGTGGCTCATAGATATTCATCTTTATTAACTAATCATACCTATTAGTAATCCTTTTCTATCCCTATAAATCTTTTTTTAGAATCCTTGTGGCCTTACATTCGTCCATCACCCTCTGCTACCACAGAATGGGCACTTTGTGGACCAAGCCAAAAGGGACACCTCTACCCATCATTTTGGGTAAGTCGCCAAACTTGTTTCACAAGCCACTAGTACTACATACTACAGGGCTTCACAACAATTCTTGTCACTTAAAAAAAAAAAAGCAAGTAAAGTGAGAAATAGTGCAAACTGAGTCCACTTTAAGGGTTAGGGTTAGTTCTAGGGAATCATGGGAATTGTTTTTTTCCCCTGAGACATTGAACCTTCTCTGTCAGAGAGCTCTGGTGCCACAATAAAATACAGTTCCCATGATTCCCTAACCCTAACCCAAACCCTTAAAGTGGACTCAATTTGCACTATTTCTGGCAGTCTGCAAAGGCCCTTAGAGTTTTGAGACTTCGTTGTTGTGTGCCTTCAACTCGTTTCTGACTTATGACAACCCTATCATGGCGTTTTCTTGACAAGATTTGTTCAGAGGAAATTTGCCCTTGCCTTCCCCTGAGGCTGAGAGCATGTGACTCACCCAAGGTCACTTGGTGGGCTTCATGGCCAAGCTGGGAATTGAACCCTGATCTCTGGAGTCATAGTCCAACACTCAAACCTCTATGCCATACTGGATCCTGTCTAAATAGTATCAATTCAGGCTGATGAGTTATGAATGTAAGCACCTCAAGAACAGTGAACTTAAGCTGCTACAAGAAAACCAGATTTTTTTCAGCATGAATTTTTACCACAGTAGTAGTTTTACACTGAGGCTTTAGTAGAGCAATGAAAATGGACTTTGCTTGCCAGCAAACCAAACAGCAGGAAAGTCTTTAAACTGGCAGCTTTACCCGGAGCCTTCAAAACACAAATCACCGTTCAGTAAAGATCTATTCATAAAAATGTCCTCGTTAAAAATAAGAAACCCTCCATCAAAATTTTAAGATCCAATTTATGCTGGCAGTGGTAAGTTAAGAGTAACTCTCTCATGAGACAGGTTTGCATTAGTTTTTTTCTTTCTTAAAGAAGTGTATTTGTTGATACTGTTTTCAGATCTATGCATAAAAAAAGAACATTAACTAAAAACTGCAACTAATTGTAGATCAGACATTATAAGGGCTTGCCTATCAACTGATCTCTCTCCACAAACACAATTCAATTGTGTTATGCCAGAGGAAATTGTTAAAGAAATTGTTACATTTCAGAAAGCACAAAAACAGAAAGAAGGAGAGAATGAAATGGAGAGGAAGAGAAAGAGAAAGGAAGATAAAGAAGAGGGGGAAATATAGATGATAACAAATGTTACAGGTTATCATGTAGATCCCGGATTTTAAAAAGTTTGGAAGTTATTAGTATTAATTAAGAGGTCCTTTTTGCCTAGAGCGACTAGAAATGTTTATTTGTTGAATTTTGTGAGGATTCCTAGTTATTCACACTGTGGAGGGTCTGATTCATATCACTCCTAATTAGGAAAGGCCATGCTTCTCATAAAACCAGTAGACTAAGACTCTGGTGAGCAGGGTTCGAATCCCTGTTCACCCATGGAAACCCACTGGTGACCCTGGGCAAGTCACATTCTCTCAGATTCAGAGGAAGGCAAAAACAACTGCCCTCTGAATAAATCTTGCCAAGGAAACCTTGTGATATAGAAACCCTAATGCAACTCAAATTGGAAATGACTTGAAGGCACACAACACTTCTCATAGGAGATGGGGCACACCTTTTTGTCCCCTGGACACAATTTTTTTCCCTGGACAGAATTCAATCAGATCTCTCTCTATATATGTATGTGTGTTATTCTGTTTTTGTATGCCTTCAAATAGTTTCAGACATACAGTGACAACCCCCCCCCCCAGTGAACCTATCATGGGGTTTTCTTGGCAAGATTTCTTTAAAGGGGGTTTATCATGGCCTTCCTCTGAGAATGAGAGAGTGTGACTTGCCGAAAGTCACTCAGTGGCCTTCCATGGCTGAGTGGGGGATTTGAACCCTAGGGCCTTTGCAGACTGCTAGAAATAGTGCAAATTGAGTCCACTTTAAGGGTTAGGGAATCATGGGAACTGTATTTTATTGTGGCACCAGAGCTCTCTGACAAAGAAGGCTCAATGTCTCAGAAAAAAGACAATTCCCATGATTCCCTAGCACTAACCCTAATCCTTAAAGTGGACTCAATTGGCACTATTTCTGGCAGTCTGCATTTCCAACTAGTCTCCCTGAGTCCTAGTCCAGCACTCAAACCACTAAACCACATGGGCTCTTGTGTGTTTTAATTTCTTACATATAAACAGACAAAGGACTGAATCCTACTGGTGAGTCCAACTCATCATTCAGTAACTGAGAAAATGTATTTATTAAAGTTATCCATTGTGTTTATGAACTGTGATTCTATCCAAAAGAAGGAGACATACAGGAAAGCATTCTTGTGCCTAGAAATTGATACATACTATATCTACAATGTTGCTCATGTAAAAATATACAATTTTTATTTGCACACATAAGGCAGCCATGCTCACTGCCTTGTTGTTCATCTTGAGCAATAGAATTCACATATCCAGGCAATTTATCATTATTTTAAGACAGCTTTTCTAACTCTAGTATTTACAAAAAGTAAAAGTCTTTTTATTATTATTATTATCATCGAGACAATAGCAATGATCTCTAATAAAACTTAAAAGGAATACTGATTCTTACCATTGCTTACTTGATTGAGGTGATAAACTTGAGTTTGAGAGTTTCACATTTCTTTCTAATAGACTCTTTCCTGACTTTCCTGCTTTTCCTACAGCTTGCCAAGATCAATGTACTCTGCTTTTTTTTTTTTATACTGGCATATATGGCATTAATTTGGGTATATCTGCTAAGCCTTTGGCTGCACAGATCATGAAAGCGTATGGAATGTCCTTAAAGACATAGGCGTGCCAAAACATCTGATAGTTCTGATGAGGAATCTGTACTCAGGACAAGAGGCTACTGTCAGAACAGAACATAGAGAAACAGAATGGTTCCCAATTAGCAAAGAAGTCAGACAAGCCTGCATCTTCTCACCATATCTGTTCAACTTGTATGCAGAACATATTATAAGAAAAACA